CCCAATAATTAGAGATTCTCAGTGTCATTTCAGGTTTCAAATTGGGATCATTCCTATATTACGTACAATTCTAATTTCAGTGGAAAAACCAATCTATATTTAGAAAGCCACTTAATTGTCCACAGTAGAGTCCCATACTCTAATGTGTACTGTCACATGTTCAGAATCTTGAATTACGCAGTTCTTGTTCATGCCCAATTCGTTAAACGTATTACAGGATTATAGGTATAAACGGTAATATGTTTATAAGTTTATAATATACGTTAATTGTGCAACTACTATTATTTTACACTGTCGACACAAATGTAGTGTCACCGTCCGCGACGGTGAGTGGTTTCCAGAGGCGGGGAACATAGAGGAAGAGTGTATCGATGTGCTTGTCAAATAGCGTCTTGTCCTTGAGGTTGGCGTGGAGTCCAAATGTGTTACCGCGACATCCAGAACGATCCTCTGGGAGAGAGTCATGCAGGTCAACATAGAACAGTTTACCTGGGCCGTACTTGGTAGTTGAGAGTGAATAGGAGACCGTCAGAAATTCCGGGTGCGCGCGAGTGTACAAAATAGCGGATTAGATAGAGATCGGGACCTGGAGAAATAGCCGAGTGGATTGGGTCTCTATGACAGCCACAAGTGAAAAAAACCCACGAAGGCTTCCCAACAGTGTCTATGTTGTGGTGCAGAAAGTTGCAGTCCGTATTCTGGACGATGAAGGTGCGTGAGGGTGGAGTGGTACAAAACTGCTCAGGTGGTTCCAGTAGTAGATATCTTGTCTGAGAACTATACTCTTGTGTATCGGATCAAATACTATTTTCGTAGGCACTTCCATTCCAGAGGGGAGCCTTTCACCAACAGTGGAAGGGACCACCACTGCGGGCTATGCAGAATCGAAATGAGAGTGCTGTTTTTGTGGACGCAAACAAGTCTATGGTGGGGTGGTAGTTTAAGAAAGACATTGCGTAAAATCATAAGTGTTTAGCATCCATTCTTCGGTCTCAACTCCAACCAGGGGTTTGTAAGTGAGTTTCATGCCTTACTTCTCTGCCATTTCTAGCGTGGCAGAACGACTCAAGTGATGACATCTCGATGATGATCGTCGTAGGCACAGATGATAGGAGGGCCCGAGTGAGGTACACTTGTGGTAGAAGACGGGGGCGGTATAGCCTGAGAAGAAGCGACCGGTGGGGGTTGAGTGCCAACTTGGGGAGCGAATGCCACTAAGACATCGCTTGGGGGCGGGAGCGTATCGTCCTGAGACCTGTGCGATATGTGAGTCTGCTGGTGTTTTAGAGTTTTTAGGATTCAGGGTTTAGGGGTTTAATAGCGATGTCAGTGTGGTTTTTAATGCCAAATCTTTAGCGGGTGGGCGATGATGTGGTGATGATGGTCGAGATGTGGCTCGAGCAGCCTCTATAGCATCCAGGCATTTTGCCAGTCCTTGATGCAGGGATTCAACGGACGGAGGCGGCTGGACTGCAGAAGTAGTAGAGGTAGCAGCAACTTTAGGGAGAGTGGTGTCATTATCAACATTCACATGTGTAGCTTTATTCGTTCGCAGATGAGTAGTGGAGAGACTTCGTTACTATTATGGACGCCAAGGAAGTAAACACTGTCAAACTACGTCTTTGTCTGCAAGCTCTAGCCCATAGAGATATACTGCCTTGGGTGAAAATGACCGAGAAAACTGTGTTTTGCTTAGCGGTCAGTCAGCTACTGCTGTGACACGTTTGCACCAAGTCCGGAGAGTGTCGTCGCCATCACGTGCTGGAGAAAGACTCGAGTAACTCAAATTGAACAAATTCCGTTTGCTCAATTTACTCCACACATACTTACGTACAAAATGCACTTAGATACAGGCGTACCACATCAATCGCAACTGCCTTTTGGGTCAGATTGTACGAACAAGAAATAATTTTCCCCTAGTGTTGTCATGCTCGACTCTGGTTACTCACACACGAGACACACTAGCTTATGCACACCACTCATGACAAAGACATTGGCGAACAACGTGCGAAGGCGATACTATAATTTTTAAGTTGCCCAGAAGTTAGCAGCACCCGATGACATACCGGCAAGCCGCCTGCCTCAGCATCTTTTGTCATAGACAATACTCTTTGTCGGTTAGTTGGATGCACACAGTCTAGAGCCTGATTCAATCAAAATTTATCTTGCACATATTTGCACTCTATACAGGAATATAGGACAGCCATTTCCAAAGCACCAAGACCTAGTAATGGTGCTGCAGAAGGCAATTCAAAGCCGCAGAGTCGCCGAAGGTAGATTCTGTAACAAGTCATACCCAAGCGCCCACGACGTCCACTTACCCCCACACTGATCAAGCACTATTTTTGAGCCCTGTTACATTCGACAGACCGGCGACAAGTTGGAACCAGTGCGACTGTATATGACTATACTGGTAGGTGGTTTTGGTGTTATGCGCTACGGTGAGCTAACCGTACATACGGATCTCAAAATCTATTCGCCTTCTATGCATGCGCATCGCGGTAAAGGTGCGTGCTTTGATGGTAACTTACGCAGAGATTACTCTTCCCATATCCAAAACCAGCCTAAATCGTGTAAGCATGATTACAATCCCTAAACGATCCACACGCAGAACGGTACACTATATACAGTTATTGCGCGCTTGTCAACTGGTCGTGTCACACCAACAGTGAACTCGACACAGCAAACATATTTTTACTAAACGGCGAAGCATATTCTAACTCGGCGTTCATTAAGATGTTTAAGAAGACTTTAATGCGTTGCCATCTATCAGTTAAGCAAAGATCATAGCCTGTGCATTGAAGAGCTTACCGCACTTTTGAAAGCTGGCATCCCAGAAGGCAGAGCTATAATTATTGGTCGATGGACATCACCCGTCCACCGAATTCACTAGCAACGTACAAACTTCGACAGTAATAAGTCAGCACATTCAGCAACATGGTTTGCCAACATCATGCCCATTGGAGTTTTTTCTGTCGCTCCCGAAGCTGCTACTTCTAGGTGGTGAAATCCAACAGGAACGATGATGAGTGGTGTCAAAGTACGGCACCCAAAGGTTCCGTCCGTTTGCGCCGCCCCGCTGAATGTTTTTTTCTTCCTATAGAGGACACAATGATATCTCACCTGACGGTGCGAGCTTTCAGCCTACATACAAACGTGGCTCACTGTCGTTTATCTCACAGTCATCATAGCCCTCTGAAAAAGAATCATTTCCGGAGCTATGCTTTTACATATTTTTCTGCGGGTAAAAAACTTGGTTAGGACTTAGGGTTCAGATTTTGAGACCGAAGATTTCATTTGTAAAATAAATAAAAATAAACAGAGAGAAATATCATATGCACAGAGATAAAGTCAATGTCAACACAGTCCACAGAGAGGTGATCACTGGTCAGGGAAGTTTTGAATATCTTCATTTGTACACTCGCGTATTCCTTTAACCACTGTAGATACTGAACTAGAGAGCTTAAATGCGATTATCTTCTCTAATACACTTATCGAAAGTCACCAAGGTTTATCGCACAGGTTTAACTTATTCTAAGACCATTCGGCAGTCAACACACGAGCATGAGTGCCCAGGAATACATTGAAGATGAGGAAGATCGAAACGGCATTCGGTTTTCTTGGAACATATGGCCGTCGTCAAGATTAGAAGCACAGCGACTAGTTGGTCAGTGAAAACGGAATGAATATATGAGTCGATCATAATGGAATATAACATAATGTTAAACGTAATAGCTCACTTTATGTATATACGTATGTATGTGCGTATGTATGTATATATGTATGTATGTATGT